CGTGAGCCCGGGGCGCACCAGGCCGCGGCGGCCGCAGCGCTTCCCCCGGCAGGGCAGAGCTCCCCGTCGGGAGCGGTGCCTGGCGCGACGGGGCCGCCGCCGCCCGGGGGAAGAGCGGGCGGAGAGGGGGCGACCTCTGCCCGGCCTGAATGGGGCTGACAGGGAGGGCCTTGTGCGTGTGGTCTTCAAATCGGCTCCTCTAGTAAGAGGAGCGCGCGTCAGTTAATGCGACAGGTAATAGTATATCGTCAGCCAGAGAAATACCGTATTTCATCCTCGTTTCTTTAAGATCCTTCTTCCTCTGGTTTTCTCTGTTATTTCCTTTCATCAGTTCACTTGATCCACCTTACGGCCCAGTTACTGGCAAGCGTTTAATTGTATAAGCTCAGACCGCTTTCCTGAGTGGCCGAATTAGTCCTTCTGGCCGGATGCCCCTTTTTGTTCTGTTTAAATTGTTGCTGTTTTGTTGATATCTTTGTTACTTAATTCGTGGTGACGTTAAGTTGTAAGGTATGTCTAATCTGAAATGTGTTTATTTTTGAGGACGAGGAGTATTTGTAACTGGACAGCCTACTGTGTATAGGCAAACCAGGGAGGGATGTTCTGCAGCTTCCCACCGTGAAATGCAGTTAGACGCTAAAAACCTGCTTTTCCTCAGAGCGGTTAGGACTTCACTCTTCCTTTCTGTTCCCACCATTTCTTCCATGCTGTCGTACTATTTGGATATGTCATCTGGTCAGTAAGATAAAATAGTCCCAGAGCTAAATTGTTCTTCACACTCTAGAAGTCTGTTTTTAAGAGGCTGTGGATAGCGCTAGTTGGTGCAGCATCTGATATTTGTAATTTCGATGTTTTAGGCATTTAAAGATACTGGCAAAGCACCTGTGGAACAAGAGGTCGCAATTCATCGCATTAGAATTACTTTGACAAGTCGCAATGTAAAATCCCTTGAGAAGGGTGAGTGATACTTTTTGTTTTAACTGGGGTAGTTTAAGTAATAAATTATGTATATGATATTATGTATTGCAAAATAGAAGATATTGAAACCAGTTGTAATTAAAGATGTTAGCATTTGCCTATTTGCATGTGACTTGGCTAACAAAGTCAACCCCAAATGCATCATACACTGACAAGTAGACTCCGATTTAATTTTTAAATTAAAGCTAGTTAGTTTTTCATGACAAAAACTTCATGTCATAATGACTAATGTAAGAGAATGCAGCATCTTCCCTGTAGTTCTCGTGGGGGTTTTAGTTGTTGCTATTTGAATGTATAAGACCTGAAAGGCACATGTTTCTCGATTGGCATTTTGTTGCTCTTGTTATGAAGAGTTTAGAGGTTTAACATTCTTTAAGAAATTAATTTAATCTTGTTTAGGAACTGGCTTTGCTAGTGTTTTAATCATATAATGTAAACGTTGTAAAATCACTGTTTAATGTGGGATCTTCAGGCTGATAAAAGTTTAAACACAGCTTAAACTTGTAGTAATGGCTTTTGCCCACTGTTGTAACATGATTTTGCTCACCGTGGCGTAATGCTTCTACTTGTATATGGTTGGCTATGAGGATAACCTTTAGAATGAATGGCAGTGATAATTTCATACGCTATTCTGAGCCAGCTTCTTGTTTGAAATCTTCACTTAGGAAACAAGCAAAAACCCCACTCACAAACCTGAGTTACTGTCTTTTATTTTTTTGTAGTCTGTGCTGACTTGATCAGAGGTGCTAAGGAAAAAAACCTAAAGGTGAAAGGACCTGTTCGCATGCCCACCAAGGTACTTAACACTGTTTTTCTGCCTTAAAAGTTTGGGTTTCAAATGTGCACTTGAAATTTCTTTAAAAAAAAAAAAAAAAAGTTGAGATGAAAAGCAGTGCTACTAAACAGAGAGTGACTCGGTGTAAACAGATAATGACTTCGCAAGTTGCTTTGATGCTTGGAGCAGCTGTTTAGTGCAAAACATGTTGTACATAGAAGGGGCTTTTCTATCTTTCTGTTTATTTTAATTATGACTTTTTTTTTTTACATTAAATGGAATGTAGGGAAGGAGTGTTAACATCAGTAGAATAGAACTTAAGAAGTGATTTTTCCAATGACATAGATACCATAGCATATTTTTAAGTGGATTGATTTGATTGTAGATTAGTGTTCCATGTGCATCAGCTGAATACCTTGTACATGATTTTTCTTCAGACTTTGCGAATCACCACCAGGAAGACACCTTGTGGTGAAGGTTCCAAGACCTGGGATCGTTTCCAGATGCGGATCCATAAGCGACTCATTGACTTACACAGCCCTTCTGAGATCGTGAAGCAGATCACTTCCATCAGCATTGAACCAGGTGTAGAAGTTGAAGTTACTATTGCCGATGCCTAAATGATGGTCATCGTTGAATAAAGTTGATTTACAAATTTTCATCACTGTTTGTTTTTATATGCGTGCCGAGAGTCTTGGTTAGCCCTGTGGTGATTTTCATGAAGAAGGACAACAGAGATCATAATCAAAATGCTGTGTGAGAGGATTGTATGATATTTAAGGAAGACTGTGCCAGTTGTAAACATCAGGAATATGAAACTTGGCATCATAGTTTCAGTGGAGGTTGGTGACTGTATGGATGTGCAGCACTTAATTAAAAATATATTTTCCATAAAGGATTTAACTTTGGCTGAAATCTTAGTCTATACCCAGACAAGCAGTAGTGTTAAAATTGATCTTTAGGTAAATTACCAGGTTTTCAATTCTTAGTTTTTGCTATGTGAGGCTGAACTAACAGTTGGCTTCCTTGGCTTTTTTTTTTCCCCACGCTTTTCGCAAAGGACCCTGAGATTATTAGGTATAAAGTTTCACAATTGTGGTGAACACATTGAATTTAGCAAGTTCTTTCTTTAGACTTGCATGTAGAGTCACAGAACTAAGCAGTGGAATGCTCTAGTTGTCTTTCTAGATGTATGTTTCCATAGATTTGAATATTAAAAGTATGACTAGAGGTAAGCTTCGTATGTAAAACAATAATACAGGCATTTTCATGGCTGCTACTTAGGCCTCTCAAGCTTGGTGGTTGGTTTTTTGTGTTTGTTTTTTTTTTTTCTCTGCACACTAATCCTTAAAGAAACTATGATTAATTCTTGAACCAACATGACAAAGCCCGGAGTTAAATGAAAGAACACTTCCATCCATTTAAGATCAGGTTGCTGCTTATGCTTCAAGCATAGGAGAGAACTTGAATTCTAATTATGTAGAAGTGTGGAGCTTGAGGTCCCATTTACATTTGCTAAGAACAGTGTCTAAAGCTTTGAGCTTTTTACTCAGGGTATTCAGGAGTCCTTCATCTGCCCACTTGTCTTAATTTCATTAAATTTAAAGCCTTAGAAGGATTCTGTCCATCTAATTGGCAGGCTCAAGAGCTTTGGTAGAAGGGATAGGTGAGGAACTTAGTTGCATTTACATGCACAGATCGTGACATGCCTGCTTCCTTGGGAAGCATCTCAACTGTGTGAGCAGAGAAGAAAATGCCTGTGTCTTCCTAAAGGTCAGTTTCTGGTAGTATATTAAAAATATCAGCTGCCTGACAAATAACTTCTAGCTTTGGTTTTAAAATTTGTTACTTTATGAGGTGTTCTGAAAAGCATGGTAATAATTTGGTTTTGTGACACCAGGCAGATTAAAAAGGGCTAAACTGGTGAACAAGTAACAGACCAGAAGTGTTACTAGCCGAGGCTGACTGACCTTTGTCTTATGATTAGCTACTTTCACCTAAGTAGTCTTCCCTGGGCTTAACCCAACAGCCTGACAGCCCTTGGGGGGATCTAGGGAGGGCTGGCTGCCTTTGACATCATTTCTGTCTGGTCTTTCCTGTTGGTCAAAACCTAATGCTATGAAATAGCTTTTTACTGGCTTGCAGCTGGCTGTACCTCTCACAAGGTGCCCCTTAAACATACCTAAATGACCCATGTTCTTTGAGCAGCTGTGGCTCTAAAAAGGGGTCTTTTGAGTGTGTTTCTTTGCACCTGCCTTTAACTTAAGGACAAATACAACTTTACCTTTGCCTCTGGGTCTTCTACTACACAGAAATAAAACTGTCTCCCTGCTCACTGAATAGACAGGTTCATCTGTGAAGACTGCTCTTTATCAGAAAAGCCCGTTGAGAGTGGTGGGCCTGAGGCTCCTGTGCGTTTCTTCAGGGGGAAGCAGGGTTCACCCTCCCCTCCCTGTGGTGTGCACTCCCCTCCGGCTTTGTGGAGCCTGCACGTTTAGCGATTTGTTTTCTACTTGGTTTACAACAACATCGCGTGGTGTCGAAGCGGTTACATAACACCCATGATAACTGTTGACGGCAATACTGAGGTGCCTGCGCGTCCCGGGTCGCCCCCCCCTCTCTCAGTTAGGCAGGTGACTGAGCCTAACTAACTAACTACTGAGCTACCGCTCCCGGCGCCGCCTGACTTCGCCGTTCAAACCGCCTCCTCCCCCCGGGGCTTATTAAAAACGATAACTAGATCCTGCGTCACGAGCACGCGCTCCAGGCGCTCCCCCCGCGGCGGCGGCGGCTCTCGAGCTGCTGTGCGGCGGCGCCCCCT